CTAGGTCAACGCCAGTCAACGCGTTGCGATCAAAAATTCAACGAACGACGTTCAAAACCCTAAGGTCAATGCCGGACAACGCGTAACCTTAGATCAACGCCAGTCAACACGTTGCGAGCAAAAATTCAAAACCCTAAGGTCTACGCCAGTCAACGCGTTGCAAGCAAAAAAATTCAACATACGACGTCCAAAACCCTAAGGTCAACGCCGGACAACGCGTAACCCTAGGTCAACGTCTATCAATGCGTTGCAATGAAAGAATCAACACTCCGAAAAGTATACGAGTATAAACTGCTTCTTAATACTCCAATAAGGTATATGAGTATAAACTATTCCCTATTTTTGGTTTGAGAAGTTCCTGGAGAATATTGTTTATAAATATTCTTAAGGATAACTCAACCACACTACGCCGGACAACGCGTTGTACATAAAGACTCGACGCCACAATCGATGGTCAGCTAAAAATTAGAAATCAGGAATCGACTTCAAAGTTCAAAATTCCGACAAACGGTCAGACAATAAATGCAGCACCGGAACTCTTACAGACTTTCGACAAAGCACCGAAAAGCCTGGAGAATCGAAGGAATCAAGAACGGAAATCATTCCAAGGTCTCATTACACCGACTGAAGGTGGGAGGCAATCATATCCAAAGTATTCCAGACTCTTCTATAAAAGAACGAGACTGAAATACTTTGGAGGGGGTATCTGTAGGCATATAAAATTGCTTATAGGTCCCCTAGCATAGCTCGGCACAAACCGACGAACCAACGAGGCGACGAGATCGACGAATCGCATCAAGCGACGGAATGCATCCATACACGTGCGGGATCAAGCCAAGGGTTCGAAGAGTCAACGAGTCATCCAACCAAAGGCATACTCGGACGAATGACGATCGAATCAAGATCGGTTTCGGACTCCAACTCAGAAGCGGATTTACGCCGAGCCACCTCGGGGTGGCTCGGTGGCCGAGCCACCTTGGGGTGGCTCGGCCATGAGCCGAGCCACCCCAAGGTGGCTAGGCACAGTGTCGGCCACCCCGAGGTGGCCGACAGTGGCCCGAGGTGGCCGACAGTGGCCAGAGGGGGCCGACAATTCCCTTTTTGCAGCCACTGTCCTGAGAGCCTATAAATAGGCCTAGAGATGTTCATTTTCGGAGGTCGAACTTTCAAGAGCCGAAACTCTGCCGGATTGAAGAGTGAACTCGGAGCTTGAAGACCAGAAGACTTGCACATTCAGATCTGATCCTCGGCGACCATCCACGTCAGAAAAGGCAGGATCTCGAGAGGAAGAAAGAACAGATCTGAGATCTACACGAGACTACACTCCAGATCTAAGCTTGGTCTTAGATCTCGAGATCTGAGCGATTATTCCCTTGGTGGATTAATCCCTCCCGGCTATTATTCCCTTCGTGGAATAATACCCGCATAATCGTGTAGATCCGACCGGATCTAGATCGCGCGGTGGTCCACGGATTAACCCCGGCGTTGGCAAAGAACCCACACAAGCAAGCAACCGCAAAACAGGAGCTTGCGATTTCTTCACAAGAGGAAAGTTGTAATTTTTATTTTTTTCTTTGATTTAGTTGTAACCGGATCTATAAAAGACCGGATCTTTGTAACCCAAGATGACAATCATATCAATGAAAAAGAAAACAATTTTCCCCGCGAACAGCAAGTGTACCAAGTTGAGCTACATCGAAGATCTATCAAGCTTGGGTATATTTAGTTTAGGTTTTATATTACATCGAAGATCTATCAAGCTTGGGTATATTTAGTTTAGGTTTTATATTATGTGTGTTAGTACTTTAAGTTCAATCATATATTTTAGGTTTTATATTATGTGTGTTAGTACTTTAAGTTCAATCATATATACACACACATATTTAGTTTTTACATATATAGTCATATATATATATCCAAGATTTGCTTTATGGACTTAACAATCATTGTATACATATTTCATTAAGTCAATAAAATTATTTCATAGGGTTTCCAAAACATTATTTATGTCAAAACATCAAATTTTATGTATATCACATTTTCATGTTTTGGACACACTTGTAAAATACATAAGTTTTTACAAATGGGAAACTCAAATTGAGAAATTCTTTTTCTAACATGTTCAATTTCATATTTATAAATGTTTCTCAAAGTTTTATCAATTTTGGAATTAATCTGTTATGTTTATTTGAATTTACAAAATCAAGTTTTTAATAAGCTCATGTTCGTGCACATGTTAGTGCATATTTTTGCAAAACTGATACGTTTTCACAATTAGAAAATGTGATTTAAAAAAAATTTCGTTTATATGTTTATCATCATATATACAAATATTTCCCCAAGTTTTACTAATTTTGGAGTTGTTTTGTTATATACAAATATTTCCCCAAGTTTTACTAATTTTGGAGTTGTTTTGTTATTTTCAATTGAATTTACAAAACCAAGTTTTTTTACTAATTTTGGAGTTGTTTTGTTATTTTCAATTGAATTTACAAAACCAAGTTTTCTGTAGTTTTTTTCAGAAATTATATATTTGTATTCAAACATTTATTTCTCTAAACTAGGAAGTGATATTTCAGAAATTCTATCTCTAACATGTTTATCTACATGTGTAGAACCTTCCCTAAAAATTTTATGATTTTTGGAGTTGATTTACTATTTTTAATTAATTTTACAAATTCAGATACACAAAATTTTAGAATCTGTTAAAATCAGAAACTGTCCGTGAACAGTGCGGTCGACCGCTACAGTTGACTGTGCTACAGTTTGGTCAACCACCACGGTCCACCGTCTGTATTCCATAGAGTAGTTTTGTAGTTTTATTTATCGCGGTCGACCGCCACGGTCCACCGTCGAAGTTACCGTTGCATAGTAACGGTAACTTGCTGATTTTTGTTTTTTAGTGGGTCTTTGGGGTTGTTTTCTTATTTCTATATATACTCCTTTGCCATAACTATTTTTTATAACTAAGAGAGTGTTTTAAAACAAGTTTAAAGAGTTTTAAACAAGGGTTTAAGTTTGGTTTAAGTTTGTTTAAGAAACTTTTAAGCATTTGAAAGTTTGAGTTTGTGAAATCAATTTCACAAGAGCTTGAGAAGATCATCTATTGGTGTTTGGGCATCCAACTATTCTCACTCTACCTCTTGATCTATTGAGAAGTTTTCTAAACTCTATTTTTAGCTTTACATCTATTTGTTTGATTATCATTTTATTAAAGCTAGTTTTATGTTGAGTTTAGTTAATTTGATTTCACTCATTGTTTACACACATCCACTTGAGCTTATTGTATTTGCATACATTATATGTTTAGGTTGGTGAGAGTTGTAACAATTGAGTGTGTGCTTTCATTATGTTCTCATCCATATTAGAGAACAATCATTTATTGTAATTATGCT